TCACCCCACTACTTCTGATTTTAACTACTCTATGTAAGACAGCCTTGATTCTCCCCTTCTCCTCCACATCTCATTTCAGATTTGATTGCATTCCTTATACTTGTCCATTCTGATAGCAGTATAGTCTTTTAATGCGTTAATGTATCTCAATCAAACCACTGTTTATTGTCCAGCATTTAAATTGATTGAAACCTTATGTTTAGCTTTTATAATTGCATGTAAGTCTGAAAATCTTTGAGGAGAGAACTCTGAAAATAATTATTTTCAGAGTATAATCTAATGATAATCTAGGCTCAAAAATATGATTACTGTGATTTTTTGTTTATTAAATGATAGATTTTTGTGTTTGATCTGGATATTTGATTCCACAAGTATGAGGAGCTTTAGACATGTAAACTGCCTCCATTGATGGAGATGCAAGTATCTTTTGCAACTTATAGTTTCAGATAATTCCTTAGGAGTAGAGAGTTTAACTCACTTTTATTTTTCTTTCCCTGTTTTTACTCAGTTATAATGTTTCACAGTCAGTACATGAACCAAGGACCTCCTTATTCCTAATCCAGTATTGCATGTACCATACTATGATTCCTCTCTGCCACTCTTTACTAATTCGAGTATGCATTTTTTATTTTATTTTTGCCAAATATATAATTCGGTTCCTTTCTAACATTATCTCCCAACAATTTTCCTATGTGAAGCCACAGTTGCTAGCAAATTGTTCTGCTCATTATGCTCTGAAGATAATGTATGCATTTCTGCTTTAATGCCTTGTACATATTATTTTCCCCAAAAGTGTGATGCCTTCTCTTTTGATGCCTACTAAATTTAGTCTAGTCTTTCATGCATAGCTTGCTCAAGTTAAGCTTTTGCTGACAATCCTACTCTCCTCACTCACAGACATTTTTCATTCCTCACAATTTCTGTAGCTTTAATTGTAACTGCCTTTGAACCTTTGACATAAGACTTTCTGCCTTTTCCTTTCTCCGGGCAAACCTGTGTACTCTGTTTCTGGGGACTATTTCCGTAAATAGATTGTGCCCCCTGAAGCTTAGCCAATGCGAGAAGGAGAAGGGGGTTGGGTAGGAGGAACTCGCGTTAGGATATAAATAAGCCTTGCTTTTTGTACATATGTGTCCTCCCTGTCTGGCACCATTAGGGGGACCAGGGGCGGTGCCCTTTCTCATAAGGAAGCAATAAACTGCTTTCTGCCTTCAAGGTAACTAAGGTTTTGTTTTGAATTGGAGTAGTGGTCTCTGTCCCACACACTTTCTATGTTCTAGGCACTGTTGTAAGAAGTAGAAATACAAATATAAAGAGAAACATAGCCCCTGTTCTCAAAGAGCTTACATTCCAATGGGTAAAGATGACAATAATAGGAACCTGAAAGAGTCTACAAGGAAGTTTTCCTCTAAATTCTCCCTGATCTCTGTGTTGTTCATGATGTCTCAACCTCATCTAAGGACTCCCCCAAATTCAGCATAAGCTGCTCTGACAATATGGAGAGCTATGTGGAAAGGGAGGGACGCAAGAAGAAATGATCACAATATTTTCTAGAATAGAAACCAGGGGAAGGACACTGGAAGGAAGAATTGGTAGAACATGGGAAATAAACCCCACATCCAATCAATAGCACTAAGCAACTTAAATGGCACCAAATAAACACTCCTTAAACACATGTACAGTGAATTTCCAGAAAGAAGGAAGAGTGAACCAGCAAAGCTAAGTCAGGCCTTTTGGCATAATCATAAATCAGTAAGAGAAACAATAATTAGATTAAAGAAATAAAGGCAAACCATGGAAATGAGGGGACTGATCAAACTTCCTATAATTATGTCAAAACAAATAGTAAATGTATGAATTAAATAAAACTGCCTGGAAATTTGTTGAAATTTTCAGATTAGGCAATTAGAATGCTAATACCCCACCTTACTTGAATTACTCACCAAGGAGGATGTCCACAAGAGTGAATTTACTAAATGAGTGAAACTTGTCCTATTTTTATGGCAAATGTTCCAAAATGTAAGATGTTTGAAAGAATAGGGTTATCTCTGTAGAATATTAAAGCATGCATCCAAAGACCTGAATCCAAGATGAAAATTGCAATTTGAAAACAAGAAGAAACTCTTTTATTACATGAATTTTATACAGTGTGTACTGTGTGTACTTTCCACCCTAAAAAAGGAATGAACCACCTTTATCCATTCATGTGTGTGTGTGGGTGGGTGGGTGGGTGGGTGTGTGGCTGAGTGGCTGTGTGATGTGAGCCTGTATTTCCCAGGCTCTTCTGCTCATCTCATTGCTATTATTTTTCCTTAATAACCCTGATTGCCTACCATGTGACCTTGAAGACTTTGGTAGGTTAATACGCATTTTTAACTAAACTGATTTTTTTTTTTCCCTCCTTGGCTCCTTTTTGTGGAGACTCTCAAATTGTCTGAAGCAAAAGTATGATCATAATGATTAAGTAGGTTTGGTTTTATATTATTGATATTCTGTTATTATTGCTATTATTTATCATGGTTTATTGGAGAGCTAGGTTGCTCAGTACAGATAGCACGGGCATGGGGTCAGAAAAACTTGAATTTAAATCGGGTCTCAGACAATCTCTAGCTGTGTGACCTTGGGCTAGTCAATTAACTCTGTCTCACTTTCCTCATCCATAAAATGGTCTGGAGAAGGAAATGGCAAAGCACGTTAGTCTCTTCCAAGAAGAGTTGGACACAACTGAAAACATGTAGCAGCAGCAGTTGTTTAGTCTAAAAGACAGAGTACAAATTTCACCAGGTTCCTTTTCCAGACAGGAAATTTTACCCTGTTCTTCAGAATCTGAAAAACTAGGAAATATGCAGACAATCCTAAAGTAAAAGTAAAATATGTGTGATACTTCAATTCAGAAAAAATGACAACGTTGAATTTATCAAAGAAGAACTACAAATAAGGTAAATGAAGAATGCCACATATGGCATTCACCTGCCCTCTTTTTCATGTCCTTCAGGAAACCAGAGAGGATGCCAATATTCTAAGAGTTTGAAATGTTGAACCTATGGCAGAAGCAGAATTTTTGTTGTTGTTGTTGTCTGTTTGTTTTTTATTCATTTGGAAATTCAAATGGACACTCCACATTATCATTTTGACCTTTGTTTAGCAAACCCTAACAATGAAGCAGACATATAACTTGAAATAGAATGAATATTGTATCACACATATGCATTATCATTTTTTCAAATGAATATAAATACATTAACATAATGCAATTCCATTTAAAAGGATTATTACATGCAAAATAGAATTTTATCATCATATTTTTTCCTCAATCATGACATATCAGTGGTGTAAGTGTTAAGCTCGAGTTTGGAAACTAATGGACTCTCACTGAAAAATAATTTTCCACAAGAATTCCTGCTTGTGAAATCTTCTTTGTGTAATAAATGAATATTTCCCTCTTATATTTAATAACAAATTTTTGTATTAGAACTAAGGTTTTTCCCCTTTTCTTCTTATGCCTTGAAAAATCAAGCAGTGTGGGAAATCTCTCTTAGAGATTTATTCAGGCCAAGATCTAATCAGACAGTAACAGAAACTAAGTTAAGGCTAATGGGTATATTCTTGCTCGTTGTGTTTGCTTAGACAGGTCTAGGAAAAATGTTGACTCTATCCATTATCAATATAGGTAACACGGAAACTGATATCTCTTTGACCGAGATTTGAGTGAACTAAGTCATGTACCTTAAGATAGCCTACCTCTCATTGTGTTAACCCATCCAAGTTGATTTGCAACCCTTGAGAATACCCCCTATTTGAAGGGCATGTAAACTGTAACCCCATTACAATTAAGGATCTTTGTTTTAGGAGAGGTGGCCAAATTACCATCCTTTTATCAATAATTGGCTGGCCTTATTAAAAAAATATTAAATTATCCAGAAACTTTGTCTCTCAAGCTTTATGATTGTCACACTTTCCCGAATAAAATAATTATATTGAAGATAATTTAGTTTTGTTTAATCCTTTGCAATAGTTATTAGAAACATCCATCAGTTCCTACACAATTATTTATAACCACTATAACAAAAATGTTTCAGCACATATCTATAAATCTATGAACACGGATGGATGTGCATATGTGTGTATATATAAACATATAAATGTGTATATATATATATATATATATTTCTCTGTGTATGTGCAGTATGCATATGAATACCCACATACTATCCATGTGTCTGTAATGAATACACAGCACTGGGGAGAAAGGGACTGGAAAATGACTCATTTTTAGAAGGTGGTGCTTCTACTGATCTTAACAAGATCTTAGAAGTACTATTAGATGGAGAACAGCAAGTAGTACCTTTCAGAAAAGAGGGATACACCCAATATTTTCAGAAAATATTGTATTTCTATAGGCTAGTTTATCATTGGACAAAATTACATCAGCCTGATGATGTGTCTGAGTGTTTAGTGATTGCCATTCTCCTCCCTATTCATCAATGGTCACCTCTCACTATCTTATTTTCTAACACAACCTCTCCCATCTCCAAAACATAAGCCAACTACTGGCTATGTTAGGAAGATCTGAAGAGAACCAAACAAACCCAGATGTTCAAAAACAGTAAATGAATGACATTATTTTGTTTTGCCTGTTACTCTAAAGAAATAAGTTTTATGGCGACGGGATGGCGGCCAATACACCATACATAATAAACAGTAAGGGACTTTAAGGAGCTACTTTTTTTTTTACAGTTTTCACATTCTTATTTCACTTCAACATAGATCAGTGTAACATATATGAAGGAGCTAAAAGTCTAAACACCAGATATCTACAAGTATAAGAACTTCTGAAGGTATTCATTTTTCATTCAAGGGAATGGAGCCATCAGTTCAAGCAGAATATTTAAGAAACAGATGTTGTTTTTTAGTTATTGTTGTTGCTGTAGTTGCCATTTTGTTGATAATGGTGCTGGTGTTGGTGATAATGATAATGTTGGTAATAATTTAATGAGAAATCATTTTTTGGTCATTAAATTCCTGAGTGTTTCTTTCACATCATTGTTCCTCAGACTGTATATTAAGGGGTTCAGCATGGGGATGACCATGGTATAGAAAACAGAGCCCACTTTGATGGTGAACCAGGAGCTTTTAGTATTAGGTATAAGGTAGAGGAAAAGGACTGTCCCATAGAAGATTCCAACAGCTGTCAGGTGAGAGGTACAAGTGGAGAAAGCCTTATGCCTTGCCCTAGCAGAATGTATCTTCATGACAGTTACAAAAATAAACACATAAGAAGTGAATATGACCACAAGTGTGCTCAACATAGTAAAATTTATAAATATGAAAAATATCAGCTGACTAAAGTGCTTATCAGAACAAGAGGCAGAGAGAATGCCAGAATACTCACAGACAAAATTATTAATGGTGTTAGTTCCACAAAAAGATAATATAAGGATAGTGTAGGTGAAGAGCAGAGAGAAGAATATGCCCCAAGAGTATGCTGCAGCCATCAGCAGTGCACAACGTTTCTCAGACATGATAACCATATATAAAAGAGGATTACAGATGGCCACAAAATGGTCATATGCCATCACTGCCAACATGAAGGTTTCAGTCAAAGCACAGTTATCAGTAAAGAAGTATTGTGTGATGCAAGTAGGGATAGACATTGTCCTATCTTCTGAAACTAAATTTTCCAACAGCTTTGGAGTAACAGAAGTGGAGTAACAGAAATCCAAAAACGACAAGTGTTTAAGGAAAACATACATTGGAGTGCGTAATTTGGGGTTCGTAATAATAATTACAATCATTCCAAGATTCCCCATCACAGTGATCACATAGACGGCCAAGAAAACAAGAAAGAGAAGAATCTGAAATTCTGGGTAGTCAGAGAATCCCAAGAGAATGAATAAAACTGCAGCACTCTGATTTCTGTCAGAGATCATCATGGCTAAAGTCGAAGGGAATTTGATAGTAAATCCTGAAAAACAGAATAGTACAATGAGAACGACAAGGGTAATAAGATGAAGAAGTTAGGTTTAAATAACTGATCACAATTAAAGGATATTTAAAGGAATTAAACATTTCCTCTATGAGAGGCGATGTTTCATAGGGGATGAAAGGTCAATCTTAAAGTCAGAAAGTACTAGATTCTTATCTTATCTCTGACACACACGAACTGTGACTCTGAATTAACCAATTCACCTCTTGGTGGCCTAGGAAACTTACTAACACACCAAGTTACAGGTCAGATGCCTATCTACATTATTTATTTATTCATTTATTTATTTATTTATTTATTTATTTATTTATTTATTTATTTGTTCATTCATTCATTCATTCATTCATTTATTTATTTATTTATTTATTTATTTATTTATTTATTTATTTATTTATTTATTTATTTTAGTGAGGAAATCGGGGTTATGTGACTTGCCCAAGGTCACACAGCTAGTACGTGTCAAATGTTTGGTCTGAGGCTGGATTGGACTCAGGTCCTCCGGACTTCAGGGCCGGTGCTCTATGCACTGCCCCATCTAGCTGCCCCCTAATCTACTTTAGAAGAAGTGATTTCATAAAGAAAGCTATTTAGAGCAAAGAAGTTGGAGATCTAGACAAAATAATAATAATAACAACAACAACAATAATAATAATAATAATAATAATAATAATAATAATTCATTTGTGAAATTTGTATTTAATGAAAACTCAAGTCCAAGCAGATTTTGTGAAAAATTCATAAAGGATGGATGAGGAAAGGGTGAAATAAGATGGACTGCTATTCAGAGGAGAAGAGATAAGAGGAAAGGAAAGAAGAGAAACGGAGAGTTGATGAGGGGAGACTAGAGGAGATGTTTTGGTTGGTTGTGGAGTGGTGGGTTGAATTAGGGTTGGTAAGCAATAAATCGATAATTAGTGAATAGTGAATAGTGAATTAATGGTAGGGTGAGTTAGTGACAGGATCTATCAAGGCTCTGAAAATGATACCCATATAACATAGCAAGTGATGTAAATGTGAGCGCTGTCTAAATCTTGAAAATTCTGAATGGTGATAATCCACAGAGACAAGTGTGCTTTTTTTTAATCTTTTTTTTCTAGTATCTGTTTCCAAAGAGGAATAAAACAAAATCTTATATTCTACTCTTTATTCCTTTTCAGTTTTTCCCTACCTAGGTTCTAGACATTCTACCTGAAATCTTTTACCTCTATAAATCTATGTCATCATTTAACTTAGTTTTCCAAAATCCTACTTGTTCCCATTTAGACTTTCATTTCTCTTCCTTTTCCAAATTTCTCTATATATTTTTTTGTTTGTTTTTCTTCTTCTTAGTGAATAATATGATTTATTACCATGGTTTGGGGCCCTTAGGTAACACTTCATACACACTTCAGAATTTTATTTATGACTTTAATAAATCTTCCATATTGGCCCATTCTACAAACAATGAAGAAAAAATCTTCCCTCACCTATTAAAATATACGTGTGTTAATTTTGTATATATTCCCTAAATGAACATGAATCTGATAATTCATTAATCATCTACTCTATGAAAACAAATGATTGAGGAAGTTTAAAAAAAGGAGTTAGGAAATCACAATTCAGAAAAAAGTCAGTTAATCACCACTGTAGTCTTCTATTTGAATCCTTACCAACCTTTACTTGTATCTCATATCTCTAATAAATTTATCATTTCTAATAGAATTATAATAGTCACAAACCTTTCTTAATCTATGGTGTTGGACAAACACAATGCCCAGGCAGTAAGAAAAATGAAACGATCACCGCCTAGAAGAAACCTATTTTCCACTAGTTTTGTTCTTGCTTTTCAATTTTGACATATGAAGATATAGATTTAGTACAAATTATACATTTATGGGATAGATGGGAAACAAGAGACCCCGGTCTTTTTCTGCCTGTAGAATAATTGAGAAGAGTCAGAAAAAAAAATCACGTGGAGCATCAGAAGTTTCTGAGTCAGAAACCTGAGCTCCTGATGCCTTTATCTAAGGTTTGATGTTAAAAAAGCCCTGTGGTATTATCTGGTTCAGGTTCTGTACCTGACTATCTGGAAAGCTAAAGACGATATTCAACTCGATTCTCTTACATTCAAGTCCTGTTTCAATCTGAACACTACCTACTTCCACAACCTTACCTTCACAATGTTTTCCTAACTGAAGCTATTGCTTCAGCTAAAGTATAGTAATCATAATACCCTGAAATTCAACATGAATTCCATTATTCCGCCTTTTACTCACACAATTGCTTCTGCCCAAAATGGCCCTACTCTTCATCCCCCATTTCCTTCAAGGTCTCTTACAATTTGTCTCTTTAACAAATGTCTCTGAGTAGCTATCTTTAAAATTTTTACTCTCTCTAAAAACTAATTAAACAGATTATCTACAAGAACCCATGGACATTTAGCATATGGTCTCTGAAATCTGCATTTGCTTTTTGTGTGTATATGTCCTGTATTCCTGCATGGCCCATGAGTTCTTGAATTCAGAGGGTGATATTTCTTAGCATCCTTGGTGCTTAGCACAGTGCTCTCTGTATAATACATATCCACAAAATGTGTAATGGTCATAGTGAAAATGATGATTTGAGAGTACCACCTACCTCCTTTGCCTGGCAAAAAAGAGCTTGAATGTAACTCCAGTGGAGTAACAGAAATCCACAAAGGACAAGCGACTGAAGAAAAGTACATGGGAGTGTGGAGTTTGGGGCTGATCTTGATGATCATAATCATGCCCACATTCTCCACCACAGTGACTGCATAGATGTTGAGAAACAATACAAAGAGAAGCACCTGGAGCTCTGGGTAATTAGAGAATCCCAAGAGTATGATCATGACCACACTACTCTGGTTCTTGTCAGTGCTCACCATGATTCCTGTTGGAGAGAATTAGAAATAGATCATGAGAAGCAAAACGTAAATGAAACTGAGGAACAGAGGATAAGGGCAGAGTGTGTATTAGAAAATTATTGTTGTTATAATTATTATGGAAATAACAATAGCATTAATTTCCAAGTTAGCACTTACTTTCAAATCCTGTATATTTGGGTTAAGAGAAAATCATGGAGTAGGAAAGAAGCCAAAGAAAGCATGAGGTGGAGAATGGTCTGAATATATGGATGGCTATAAATTGGCAGAATATAGTATAATCTGTACTTCAACAAATGTCCATCCAAGAAATTATACCTCATCTAGAACCCTTGAGTGGAGGAGAACCCAGTAAGTCTTAAGGCAGCCTGTTTCACTTCTTTACATATCAAATATAAGGACAAAGGTGATTCATCTCCCCTTCCCTTTTTGCATTCACTGTATCATTTTGAATATGTCACTTCTACCCATTTGATCTAGTTTAGTTTCCTGGAACCCACAGGAATAAGTCTCAGGTCTCTTTCACATAGCAACCTTTTAAACTGTTCTTTACATATTTACATAGCAAACTTTTAAATAGTTCTTTACGTGTGTGTGTGTGTGTGTGTGTGTGTGTGCAAATTGTTAACAAAATTTTACTGAGCCAGTCTCTATCCTGAGAATGAAGAAACAGCAGACTAGAGACAAAGTGCCAGTAATCAGGCAGTCATTTAATTAATTAGTTTCATTATGTGGAACAGATTTGCAAATTGGGAATTCTCTTGATCAGAATACCACTTGCTGAAGTGAAGAAATGTATGATATACATAAATCACAAGTGGGAAGGGAGTGGGGAAGGTGGATTACAAACAATCCTTTAGTAGTTTTCCATGAGTAACCTACAAGTCCCACAATACAACAATTCTGGAATCAAGTCCTTGGGGGTCATGACCATCTCCCTTAGGGTACAGAACCAGAGCCCCATGATAGTTACAGATTCTACAATCTTGGATTTGCTTCACTTATGATCCAGTGATTGTAAACATTGTCAGTTGGATGTGATATTTGGGAGAATTTCAGTAGCAAGAATCCATTAAGGTATTTTTATATACATCATATTTCAGTAGTCTTCCTGGTATGGCAACAAAATAGAGGGAATATGTCCATTAACATAAAAATTCACATTTAGAATTAGTATGCTTGAGAGGCACCTAAGTGACCAACGCTAATTGTGGAGTCAGGAAGACCCGAATTTGCATCTAGCCTCAATCACTTACTAACTTTGTGACCCTGAAAAAACTATTTAACCTTTTTGGCCTCAGTTTCCTCATTTTTAAAATGGGGACAACAATAACACCTACCTCCTAACATTGTTTTGAGGATCAAATGGGATAATTTTTTGTAAAGTATTTAGAACTCTACCTGGCACATAGTCAGTGCTATGGTGAAGTTAGTTATTATTGCTTTCAATGGCTTCAATGCCGACTATGTGCCTTAATGACTGTATAATCACCAATCAATCACTTCAGCTATTTTTCCTGATATTTATAACAATGATAACAATAATAATTAACATTTATAGGGAATTTTCTTTATGCCTGGTATTGAGCTAAGTGCTTTATAATTATTATCAAAATGATTCTCAAAATAACCTTGCAAGGTAGATGCTATTATCTGAATTACACAGATTGGGAAACTGATGTAAACAAAGTAAACTCTGTTATAACTTGCTTAGTGGTACACAGTTAGTTAAGTGTCTTGAGGTGAAATTTGAAAGCAGGTCTCCCTGTCTCCAGGCCCAAATCCTTATCCATTGCACTAGAAAATATTTAAATTTATTTTCCAGGTCTACTATTACATATGCAATGTTTTAAAGTCAATTCCAAATTGATGCATTAAATCTTATGATCCTTTCCACTCTTTCTAAGTGGAATGAAAAGAATACACAGATAAATAGGGAAGATCTCTGTTAGTTGAATACTAGATCCAAACTCCAGAAGTTGTTTCTTTATAACTTGTGGCTGTAATGGAAAGAAAGCCATTATGAAACTATTTGGGAGAAGATGGCGTGGAAGTTGAAAGTGAGG